CGTCAAAGAAAGTGTTTTTCTAAACTCTAAAACATGAAATGTGGAGTTATCTGGTTTTGCTATAAAACAAACTTTTAATATGTAAACAAAACACTTTCAATGAACTTTTAATTTTGTAAATTACCTGTATTTAAGTTATTACTTAATCAAAACAACCCAACTGCAGTTTGATATTACTCTTCATTCATATGTGTTTGTGTAGCTTAAAAATAGGTCCTTGTTTTGGGGGAAATTTGAATGTATAAAAACAATGATTTAAATGAATGACTTAATTTATGGGGAAAAAAATTATGGATTCAATTTAAATGAATGGAAATGTATGGATTTATGGAAAAGAGAAACTTTTTAAAGGGTGAAATATGACCAAGACATGCTTTCCCATTTGTGCATTCATGGCATCATCGTGCTGAGAGTTGTTTTGTGCTTTTAGTCTTTTCAAAACTGGCATAAAAAACAAAAGCTTAGAGCCCTCATAACTTGATTGAGTCCAGTCACAAAAAAAAACTGTGCCATGAAACATGATTACCTTAAACATTTGTGCAACGAAAACAGATGTGTGTGCATATAGAGTGACATTAGGAAGACAATATGAGCTGGTGTATCACTGTAACCAATGAGGGACCAGAATGCACTTAGGGGTGGGACTAGTGGTGAGGAGCATTATGATGTCAGCGTCTCCTGCCCCGCCTTTTCCAAATGTCTTTCTGTGTGAAGAGTCCAAGGGGGAAGATTCGTTCCCAGTCGCTCTTTCCTTAACCATCTCAGTTCAACAGTTCATAGTCTACGAGTTTTTATATATATACATATATATATATATATGAGTCGTCAATGCCCGGAAGATGGAAATTGGAGATTTCTCTTGTTCTGTTTGTAGTTATGACAATAAAAAATAATATTATAATAATATTTGCCCGTTAGGTACTTGTACACAAAGAGCATTCATTTTTCTATTTAAGTACAAAGAAATCCACAGAATGGTACTATATACAACCTACAATAAATACTGTGTATGATATCATCTTTATCTGTTAAAAGGGAATTCCGTTTGTTGCTTGCAAAGTTCTGTTTCATTTGATGGAAGTTGTTCGGTTTTTTTCCCCAGGTTTTACTCTTTTAGAAGTCTTTCCTATAGGACCAGGGGGCGGAAACCCCCTCATGTCTCCTCTTCATCCCCGTGATGTCTGCGATTCCGCGGTTTCTTCTGTTCCTTCAGCTCTTTGAGGTCTTGGGCCTTGATGACCCCCGTCAGCGGGTCTCCGTACTGCCAATAGTCCTGGCAGTACTGGTTTATGAGGCCCATCTCAGGCTGACTGAGGATAGTCAGAAGGTCTTTGTATTGTCCGGCGCTGGGGGTCCAGGCGCTGGATTGGAGCGAAGAAGCCGCCGGACGGCCCGTTTCCACCAGGATGTTGTTGACGGCCTGGTTGGTCAAGACCACCAGCTGAAGTTTGACCAAGGTGTGCCTGAAGTTCTTCTCTGTGGCTGTGCAGACGTAGATGCCAGAGTCTGAGGACTGGAGGGAACGCAGTAGTAAGCCTTGATCGGTCTTCAACACGCGCCCATCGGTACGGACCTGAAGAAACACACACAAAAACAACCATGATTAATAAAACAGTCAACTTTGGATGTATCATTGAGACTGCTTATTTATTTATTACTTTTGCACTGATATAAAAATTATGGTTGGCCGATACCAATAATCAGTCATTATTTTTATGATATAGCTGATATATTACAATTACATAAAAACGATGTGTAAATATACTATACTTAAGTAGTATTTTATGTAATTCTACTTATAAATACTATTTATTCATTATAAATTTAATTCTATAATTATTCATTTACAATTTAAGTTTTTACTACATACTATATATAAATATTAACAAAAACATATGAAAAATGATATTTAATTTAATTTATAATTTAAATTATATCTATATATATATAGTATAGTATATTTACACATCATTTTTATGTAATTGTAATTATATATATATATATATAAATTATAATATAAATTAAATATTATTTTACATATGTTTTTGTTAATATTTATATATAGTAAAAACTTAAATGGTAAATAATATTTATAATAAGTATAATCACATAAAATGCTACTTAATTACAATTACATAAAAATGATGTGTAAATATACTATACTTATATATATAGATATATATACACATACACACTATATATATTACACTATTACACACACCATTATATAGTTTTATAGCTATATAACTACATAACAGTATTATACAATTTTTTTCAGTAATTATACTATATATATGAATGTGTGTGTGTGTGTGTAAAAAGTAATTATACTATGTACAAAAATATTA